TAATATAATACTATAGGTTAGTAATATAATGCCATGGGTTATAATATAAGGCTATATGTTAGTAATATAAGGCTATGGGTTGGTAATATCAGGCTATGGGTTAGTAATATAATGCTATGGGTTAGTAATATCAGGCTATGGGTTAGTAATATAATGCCATGGGTTATAATATAAGGATATGGATTAGAAATATAATACTATAAGTTAGTAATATAAGGATATGGGTTAGTAATATAATACTATAGGTTAGTAATTTAAGGATACAAGGTAAGTAATATACGGATATAGGTTAGTAATATATGGATATGGGTTAGTAATATAATGATATGGGTTAGTAATATAAGAATATGGGTTAGTAATATACGGATATGGGTTAGTAATATAATGATATGGGTTAGTAATATACGGATATGGGTTAGTAATATAATGATATGGGTTAGTAATATCAGGATATGGGTTAGTAATATACGGATATGGGTTAGTAATATAATACTATAGGTTAGTAATATAAGGATACAGGGTTAGTAATATACGGATATGGGTTAGTAATATCAGGATATGGGTTAGTCCTTTACGAGGAATATTTACATCTTTCAAGTACGTCCACTTGGACCACAGCTCTTCAGAAATGATATTGTGTGTTGACACTGGCATTTTTTTCTGAGTAAACACACTTGGAAGCTCAAAGAACGGATTGTCAGCTAATTTGGATATTGTGACCCCTTGTACGTAGATTCATCTTCGTTTTTCTTTCCATTAGACTTTCAGAACAGAAAACGTCAGTGCTTCCTGAATCCACTTTTCGCTGAGTTTGTGCCTGTAGCCCTTTAACATCTTCTGCCCCACTTTCTGTGGTGTAGCAGTGATCCAGCGTGTTCTCCTCTCTGGTTGGGCATTTAATAAACCAGTGGAGGAACAAGAACATTTCCTCATATGTCCCCAGCTAATGGATTCAAGACAAACCTTGACACAACTTAATTACTCTGGTTCAATAAAAAATTGTTTGTCCAACAACGTGTGTGGACTTTAAAGTGTTTGCTTTTGCGAGAAGCAGGTTCATCAAAGTTATTGAAACAACTTAAAAGACTTAAATAAAGATATGCAATAATTAAAATTGTGAAACCCATTTCTTTTCTTGATTGTATTCTTCTAATCTCATGTGTCATTTCGTGTGACGTCACTGCGCCGCAGGTCATCAGGTGCAAGGCCGCGGTGGCCTGGGAGCCCAACAAGCCTCTGGTGATGGAGGAGATCGAGGTGGCTCCTCCACAGGCCCACGAGGTCCGGATCAAGGTGAGACATTCAACCCCCCGGTGTGTTTGGCCATTCTTTTATCCCTCCGACATTAAAAAGTGGACTACGCCCTTTCACTCGTCTTTGTCTTGTCAATGTTTGGTGACTCTATTCGGTGCAGATTGTGGCAACCGCGCTGTGCCAAACGGACCTGCAGCACCTTTTGGGGAATATGGGCAAAGACTGCTTCCCTGTGGTCCTCGGCCACGAGGCGGCCGGCGTCGTCGAGAGCGTCGGGCACGCAGTCACCGATTTGCAGCCAGGTCCGTTTTGAATGATGATATATTTTGCGAATTCACGCTTATTTGCTTCCTTTCGGTGAGTGAGGTGAGAAGATTTATACACCTCGTATCTGCGTGCTGCGTCCTGAACCTCTGAAGCTCAAGTATTAATAGGCTGAAACACAGAGTGTCAAAAAAGCACACGTTGTCTTTTGAGTATTTTACTCCCTGTTACATTTAACTTGTCACGCGAAGTTGGCTTAATTACTTTCATGGGGCAATGTGGCAACATTGTTTCTGTCTTTTAGGAGATAAGGTCATACCTCTGTTCATCTCCCAGTGCAGAGAATGTCGCTTCTGTAAGAGCCCGAAGACCAACCAGTGTGAGAAAGCATGGTGAGCTCAACCAGCCTCTTTTGTTCTTCATTCCAAGCGTTGATGGTCTTTTTCTTACTCTTACAACCATCCGCTGCAATCTAAAAGAACTGGATGCTGCGGTTGTATTTTGATGTTGATAAATTCTCTGTCCAGGTATGGTGTCGATCCGCTGTCAGTCCCAGAGTCCCGGTTCACCTGTAAGGGGAAGAAGGTGCTGCAGTTTACGGGAACCAGTACCTTCTCTGAGTACACGGTGATGAACCAGATGGCCGTGGCCAAGATCGACCCCGCTGCCCCTCTGGACAAAGTCTGTCTCCTGGGCTGTGGGATCTGCACAGGATACGGAGCCGCCGTCAACACCGCCAAGGTTTGTCTGTTTGACCTTGTGGAACACCAGCAGAGAGAGACCCATGTTGACTGAACCCCGTCGTATCGCAGGTGGAACCGGGCTCCACCTGCGCCGTGTTCGGCCTGGGAGCTGTGGGCTTGGCTGCAGTCATGGGCTGCAAGGCTGCAGGAGCCAAGAGGATCATCGCCGTGGACGTCAACCCGGAGAAGTTCGCCAAGGCCGAGGTGTTCGGGGCGACCGACTTCGTCAACCCGAAGGATCACAGCGGGCCAATCAGCCAGGTGCTGTCGGAGATGACCGACGGAGGGGTGGACTTCTCCCTGGAATGTGTCGGGAATGTGGGCGTCATGGTAGGGGGGTTTGGTTTCATATTTTTGATCTAATCATCATCACACAAGAGAGCCCACATCTTCTCAGACCGGCACCTTTTAGGTAAAAAGCCGTCTGACCTGGTTCCGTTCCTCCATCTAGCGCAGTGCCTTGGAGTCTTGTATCCAAGGTTGGGGTGTTAGCGTCATGGTTGGCTGGACAAACACGGAAGACTTTTCTGCCCGACCCGTTCAGCTCATCGGTGGACGCACGTGGAAGGGCTCCGCGTTTGGAGGTGAGACAAATGTGACCATCGCTCTGGTAACTGAGTGGATTCTGGCTTTATTTCTGCAGCTGTGTCGTTTTTTTCTGGATGCGAGTCTGACGGGATTGGATTGTGTGCCTCAGGCTTTAAGGGCAGAGACGCCGTGCCTCAGATGGTCAAAGCCTACCTGGACAAGAAGATAAAGGTGGATGAGTTCATCACTCACAACTTGACCTTGGACCAGGTCAACGATGCCATCGAGCTGATGAAGCGTGGCAAATGGTAGATGAACACGGCCGGTCTTGCTCCACCATCCATCCATGACTCAACAACACAGATCTCCTAATTTCTCTCGTCTTCTTGTTCCACAGCATCCGGACGGTCATGACTGTTTCTCCACAGTAAGAATAAGACCAGGCCGGATAGACGCTCGGCCGGTCCATTAACGCTCCTCCGCTTGTACATTTGGAGTAACAACGTTGTTGCAACATGTCTGCACGATGGGAGAAAGTATCAGTGTGGAAGTTCACCTCGAGGCTGGCGTGTTTTCCACGGACACTTGTTTAATAAAGAGGAATTGAGATCGTTCTGCTGCTGCAAACTCTTGACTTGCTGTGTTCTTTATCATTTGATCGGATTAAAGCCAATACTGAAACAATAAAGGAGCCACTGCACCTTTCGCAGGTTATTATTTTAAAATGACTAATTATACCTGAAAGGTTCTGTTCCTTTGTCCTCAAGTGGGCTAAGTGGAGTAACTATATCTTATTGGGGTGTTGACCTTAACTTAACCCGATTGAGTCCTCTCCACTATGTGGTAGAGCTATGATATTGTAGCTATGACATTGATGATATATTGTTTTTGATTGTTGAATCATTGATGAAACTAAAAATGCAAAGACATTCTTTTCCCCATAGTTTTTTCTCCTCGGGGACATTTAGGACAGCTGGTTCACAACTCCACGTGTGTGTTCACCACTGGGAGCAATCCTGTTTTGTCCAAAATCTAAGTCCCTTCAACTGTGTCTGTTGAATAAATAGACCCATTTACATTTTACCCAGGATGCAAGAGGTGGCGGAGAGAAGCTGATGGCGGAGGAACGCGTGACTCACACTCTGCCCTTCGAGACGTCTCATGAATAGTGTCCCCTGGGTTTTGTCTGTCTTGCGTGTCACCGCTGCCCTACAAGGCTAACATTGGATTTTGTAATGATTTGCCCTCAGAGGGCTTTCTTTCTTTTTTTTACTCGCCAAAGAATGAGTACAAACGGGGTCAGAAATGTTAGAGTGGATCAGATCTCATTAAACGAGTCCCACACGTCTGTCCCAAGGTCTTCTCTTTGTCAATACGTCTTGATAGACGCTTTTTTTATTCCACGCAGGCTCCACATCTGCTGCCCAGATGGAGGAAGGAGAATGATGACATCGGACGTATTGCATTGCATTGCAGAGGAGGGAGGGGGGAGACATGTGGAAAAATATGTCGAAAGGAGCTTTTTTTTGGATTGTCACTTCAGCCAATTCTACATTTTGATAGTCATTCTGTTATTTTGATAGGTGTTGGTGTTATGCTGTAATCAAAGTTATGCAGGGAAGAATTTTGGATCCATGATTCATAACGGCGAGACACGATGATTTATTCTCACACATCTGGGGGGTCTTTAATGGCTCAAAAGCCCCGTTTACTAAGTGATGGATTCACATATTATCACAGGTTGCTCTGGGATTGTTTCGTCTTTAATATTATTCCCTCCCCCTCGGTCGACAAAAAGGGCCGCAGAACGAACCTCGAGCCTTCAGTCTCACATCCACCCAGCGAGCTGGTTTCCGGTAACGGCCGTTCAAAAGTGCCGCCGTTAGAGAGCGTTCAAACGTGCAGCAGTTACTGCTGATGGACAATAACGCTTTATTGAGTTCTTCATTCCTGCTGAACTCCCACAAACCTGTGAATGAATCACCGCTCAGTCCCTTCAGACGTAATACAATCAAGTCCCGTATGTTTAGAGAACGCTCACACTTAATGAAGCCTGAAGGAAACTAATAATGTCATAATCAAATCTCAAACGCAGCGGACGCCGTCACCGCATCCAGCCTCCCAGGAACCACGCAGGGGTTTATTTTAGTGATGAAAGGCCGGTGATTTAGACCACCGGCGTATCCGAGGACAAACTCGCCCACACGGAGCTACAGAAGAGTCATTTATTACTCCATTAGAAGGAATACAAAGATGGCAGAGAAACGGTGATCACATCAGTCCTCTGAGGCGCGTTGGACGTCGGCTAACCTGCCTCGAGATATCCGGATTTATAGATTCATACGTTAAGGCTCAATTTGCTACACCGGGGCTGTGGGAAACGTGGCGAGGCCGAGGGAGACGTCCTGGAAGCGGGACCAACAAGCTCAGAGCGGCAAGTCGCGTTTACAAATTGTGTTTCACTTTTTGAAAGGAACAATGGAGTGTTGTTGTCTGCGTGTTTCTTATTGCGCTTTTAATACTCGTGGCGGCCGTTTCCCCTTAAAGTGTAATCTTCATGCTAAGCTAACTCTCTCCTGGCTGCAGGTAAAAGGGAGCGTGGCATCGTCCATCTAGGGGTGTATTTGCTAACAGGTCTAATCTCTTGTCCGTCTGTAACCCGAAGCCAACTGAAGAACCCGTCTCCCCGCTGCTGTTTCTGTGTTTGAGTCGTCGGGGCCGTGAGACTCGTTGACCCGGCTTCTGGAACCCTCCCTTTTTCTTCAGTATTGCCGATGCTTTTTGATCCGTCTCTGGGAGACTCGTATGAATTGTGATGAAGTCGACAAGAGGTTGAGAGAAAAGACGCAAAGCACGGCACATTAGTTTGATTTGCCCTGAGCAAAACACACAAGCACGCAGTCTCATGAATACGTTCATGGGTCCTTCCTTCAGATACAGTTTTCACTAACAAAGCGATCCACGGTAATATAAGACACATTCAAGTACTTCCATTACATTTGAGGAACCGATATTTAATTCAAAGAACAATGAGAGCCGCAGTTGAACTGAGCTCAAGGGGGGTGGAGCCTCTTCATTGAGGTGTGTGCGTGAGGCCCAGGAGGTGCCGGGTGGGTGGGTGGGGGGGACAATGTCTGGAGAGTCCCGTCCTCGTTGCGGTCCAGTCCCGCCTACATTTGGTTGAGGAAGTGGGCGCGGCCGTTGTCCTCCAGGCGGCGGGTGAGGATCTCGCAGCCGGTCTCCGTCACCAGCAGGGTGTGTTCGAACTGTGCCGAGCGCTTCCCGTCCCGGGTCACCGCCGTCCAGCCGTCGGGCCACGTCTCGTCTTGCCAGCCACCTGAGGTCGTGACACACGGGCGCGGCGGGTTTTGGCTTACAGGGCATCAATTAAACAAGAGCTGTAGGGAAAAGGGCGCCACTGGACACCTGGGAGGAGATTCTACATTCTAGCTTTACTTTGGTTTTATGTACAATTGCTGAAGGTTTTGTTTGGCGCAATCATATCATATTTACGTCAATTAAAATGACTATTATCCCTTCAATTACCGCCGTTGTTCATGCTATTCACACTGAAGTGCGGTTTCTCTCACCTTCACATATCATGGGCTCGATGGTGAACACGTGGCCGGGCTTCATTACTCCAACCGCTTTGTTTTCTGGGAAATGAATAAAACGGAGTTCATCCCGTTGTAGGAAATTCAATGGCAACCGTTGAGAGATTTAAACAAAAAGCAGCCTTGGACCACTCACTGGCATAATGTGGCACGTTGGGAGCGGTGTGGAAGAGCCTGTGGATGCCGTGGCCGCAGTAGCTCCGCACCACAGAGAAGCCGTTGGCCTGCGCGTGCTTCTGAATGATGTTACCCAGCTCTCTGTAGCGGACGCCCGGCTTCACTGTAAAGGCAGGAGCATCCGACGCATTAACTGGGGTTTGTGGCCTAGAGTTCTTTTAAAAAGTAAGAAAGTCACCGACAAAGAGCTTTGTCCACATTTAGTGAACTTAAAGTTCACACAAAGTTCATTGTTGACCTCGGACAGAAACTGAGAAAGTAAATCTCGGCTTGCTCCGAGGCGTCGGTGCTCTCTGGTGGACAAATCATGTAAAGCCAACACCAATTCTCAATTCATTCAAAGGACAAAAATCAGAGACGGTTGACCCCCCCGTCCAGCGAACGGGAGAGGACACCTACCAGAGTCGATGGATTGCATAAGGCATTCGTATGTGGTTTGAACCAGCTTCTTCGTCTCTTCATCCACCTCGCCGATGTAGAAGGTTTCGTTGAGGTCACCATGGAAACCGTTGTGGTAGACGGTGATGTCCACTGCGCGAGAGGGAGACGGGGGGGAAAGAGTCAGAGACGCTGTGCTGAGAAGAAGAAACGCCGCAGGGCGCGTTTCGCTAAATTGCTGATGAAATTGGAGGCGCGAGCGGACAAAGCGGGACTTGTTTACTCCCACTTCAGGGAGTAAACGTGGAGAGCAGCGATCTGACAGGCAAATCCCCACAGCTAAAGGTTAATGGAACGACGCGTCTCGTCAGCGCCACGCGGCGATTGGAGAGCTGTTGGCAAAGTGCTCCATCAGACGCTCTGGGGGGGAGCGGCGGATGGGAGACAAGGCCCTGGCACAAATATTCATAAAGAGTCTAAAATTGGCCAAACTCCCGCTGACACCATTTCAGGACGTTGGCACAACCATTAGTCATGACGGAGGAGGAGGATTTTAATCTTAACTAAAACATTCCCCTCATCCAAACGCAGCTCAACTTTCCACAGCCTGGTTCGCCATTGAGGATGTGACTGTAACGACAACGTATAAAGAGGCCCGTGTGGTGCAGGGAGCCCACCGTTGAGGATGTCGCCTTCTTCTAATGGCCGTCTGTCGGGGATGCCGTGGCAGATGACTTCATTGACGGACGTGCAGCAGGATTTGGGGAAGTTGTAGTAGTTGAGAGGGGAGGGGTAGCAGTTCCTGGCTATGCAGGCCTGAATAGACAAAGCACGTCGGTTAGAGGCAGAAAGACGAGGCTGCGGGCGCCTGCACGGCCACGTGAGCGAGTACGTACCAGGTGCACGGCGTGGTCGATCTCTTCTGTTGTGACGCCCACCTTCACCAGCTCGGCTGCGAGGTCCAGGACTTCTCGTGCCAGCTGCGATTACCAAACATGCATTGAATGGAGGGCACGGACTCAAATTACGTCACAACACTGACGGCAGCCGGCGTCCTTACGTTGCACACTACCCGCATGCCCTCGATGTCCTCGGGACAAAGGATCTTGATCTGCGACGTCCCCTTCAGAAACTGCTCCGACTCGGATATGCCTGCGCGAGGGAAACCAGGAGAGACAAGCGGCGTCATTCGCACGTCGGCGCCGAAGGAGACGACTCAAGCGGGCCTCAGAAACTTCACCTGGGACCACATTCACACTCCCATGATTTAGCTTTTACATCACAAGCGACAGCAGTTCGGTAGTGAGAGGGGGTGCACATCATCAGTCATACTCCAGCTGTCTTATACAGACGCACATCTGGAGCCGCAACCTGCTCTTCTCACTCCTACATGAGCCGCGTCTGACGTCGAAGACTTCATCGTATTAAATCCATATGGTGAGGCAAAGGTATAAATAACGGTTCTTTCAAACCACAAACCAAGTTTAATCGATATCGGCACCGTCTGTTAATCCCTCATCAAAAGTCAGGGCCTCTTCCTAATGGATTGCAAATCAAACGTACCTTTGTTATGACAAGTTCTTTCAACTTGGATCCCACATTTCTCGTTAAAAGCTTTTCAGTGCTACGGTACTACGGGCAACGAGCTGCTCCTACACAGAATAAAAAGCCACAACAATAGCAGAAGCCGGCTTAATGACACTTGCACTGTCAACTCAAGAGGAAACGAGGCCTGTTACGTGGGAGAGACGGTCCAACAAAACGTTGCACAAGATCAGGTCTGAGGATAAGCAGCACATTAAGGGAAAGCATTTAACTGGACATTGTTTAAAGCACTGGAGTCATCGTTAGTTCGCTGATCTATAATTCATCAACCCAAGCAAGATGATTGCTGCATGAACAGGAACAGTTGCCTAGCAACGCAGACAGGTTTTTTTTTTTGTTCAAGTCAAGTACAGCCCTCCTTTTGACCCGCAGAGTCGACAGTGCGCGAGCAACAATCAATTAGACTTACTTACGCTTTGATACAGCGGCTCAGGAAAAAGGAAAAGGCACGAGAGAATCACAGTGAGCACATGTTCATGTCTTCACAACGTCGTGCTCCACTTCCCTGCAGGTGTATTTGCGGTAATAACCTCCATTGTTTGTGTTATTTAAAAAAAAAAAAAGGAAAACCAGATTTGACTTCAGCTCAGTTACAAATGCCACGTTAAAAAAAACTGCTTGCAACAATAGTGCCTCAGTCCCCGAGAAGGCATCACGGGAGGAATGAGAGGAGACTGTAACCATGACTACCGGAGCACGGATCTACGCAGTCCGATGACAAGGATGTCGAGGTTGCCATGGTTGCACACTGAAGGTCTTTTCCAGAGATGTCGACCAGGTAAATAAGCCAGGTGGCAATTAAAACGGTGTCTGATAAATAACACCTGGCTGCTCATTTGAGAACGAGGAGCTATTGGGCTCTAAGCAATATTCTCTTTGTTGTGTACCGAATCAAACTCCAGTGAAATGGTACTTGCACTACGTATCCTGAGAATACACGCAATATTCTGCAGCTGTGTACAGCTGTCAGCCAATCGCTCAAAGCACATACAGATGTTAACGCGTGACTCCTGTTTGCACAACATTACATATCCGCTTATACTTGTATTCATGCAGAAAATACACAAGACACACGCATGGACGACTGCTTTGTCTACTGTTAATAAGCTGAGACAGATCAGAGTGGCCTCAATTTCTCCCGTCTAACACCCAAACCTGTGGCCATTACAGCGTACAGACAATGCCAGTGCGTCAACACCAATGTTAATATGACTCTTAGCAGCTGTAAACTACCAACCTTGCATGAATCTTTCAATCAAACTTTCCACTGTAGTGCATTTCCATTTTTTGATATATATATCTTGCATATAAAAAGCGATAGTTGGGGTGTGTGAAAACAAACCATTTGCAGTAAAATGTATTTGTAATAAGACAAAACAGGTAAATAAATACTGGTATGTAAGTCAGTATTTGGTGCGTGTAAATACTTCAGACTAATGGCAGTGTTGAGGCTTTGCTAACAGGTAAGACATATGTTGCCCCATGTAGTACTGCTTTGCTGTTAAAAAAAAAAAAAAGATACCTAAGATCCCAAGTGGACAATGAACTAAAAACACTCTGTACCTCTGGGGTGATCAGCGTAGTCGGGTCTTTGGATGTCGCTGGGCACGAGCCTCATGGGAGTCTACAGCGGGAGCCGAGGAGAGGACAAACTTATACGTTAAACCAGGAAATAATCAATGCAATAATATACAAGAATTTTCCACAATGGCTGTCGTTCTTTCTTTCTGGAGGAGATAATTTAACGACGCAGCCGGGTGTCCAGAAAGGACCGTTCATCAGCTCTACTCAACGCCGTTGATAAAACACGCCCGGGTGCGTTCTCACGTTTCAGCAAACCACCCGGTCGCCAGGGAGAAGCTGACATTTTAAACGCGGCGGTGAAACATTCTCTTCCCGGTCGCCAGTCGTTGATACAGACGATAGCGGTTAACGATCAGGAAAATCAAGATGGAAAATAATAAATGAACGTGCAAATTTGTTTAGAGCTCGTTGATACACAACAAAAAGGTCTCAGAGCCGAGAGCCTTGTGAGCGGGGAGGGCTCACCAGTGGGTAGTGGGGGTGTAGTTTCCCCGTGTAGCGGTAGCCGGGCCACGGGTCCGTGTTGATGTCCTTCTCCACACAGTTCTTGGATTCATTCTGGTTCTTGTCCTCCTCTGATAAAACACAGCACAAGGAATCTGAAGCATCTGGCATCGTCGCGTCAGTTCTTCGCTTTCACAACAACCACCTAATGAACCGACACCTGCGAGTTTAAATGTGACTTTAGAAAATCTCGACAACGACCAGTGATACATACTTGCTTTTTTGTGCAGCAGCTTGTGAGACACCCAGCTCCCTTTGAAGCATTCCTGGAAACAAAAACACAGTTCAACGGGCAGAATGGAGATGTGCACCGACTGGTACGGTGACAAGTGAGATCACAAATGTTCTACGCCAACATCAAACTGTGTCACGTGCACGCGAGGACATTGCGCCGTAGAAAGTGCCGGGGTGAAGATTTTTCTCCAATTGCTACCATCTATCGCTCCTCTCGATGATAGTTATGTTGTTGGACAGCTCATCAGCCGAGGAAGAGGGACGGGAAATCTAAAAAGCGGTGTCAGGTTGCACAGCCCCCCAAAAATGCAACCGCAGCAAAGACCTCCTGGGTCAAATGCCACGGAAACTATTTATAAAGCTTCACACTCAAGAGAACAGGCGCAGTGCATCTGCAGGTTAATGGATAACGCTTAGTTGGCAGAGACTTCTTCAATGCAGTGTCTGCAGGACAAGACATTGCGACGTGGGATTCACACCAACTTTTAAAAATAGCATTTAAGTCAAGGAAAACTGCAATGACAATGGGACCATCCCTGCTGGTCATAATGATCCAAGGAATCCTGCTCAGCTGTGCACCTGCACAGTATGTGGGGAGTTTATCTTCAGCCATGTGCGAATCCATCTTTAAATGGACAGAGTGTTGAGTGGGGGTTTGTGAGAGAGAGAGAGAACGAACCATCGTGACAACAAACGCTCCGTCACGCAACATTAACTCTGTGGCATTTCACATCCACAACTCCCCAAAGTCTGTGTCGTTACTGAATTATCTTCTAACCAGACAAAATGTACATTATTTCATTCAGGCAAAACGGGGTCCACACTGCGGGCGTTTTTTCTTCTTCATTATGACCTGGGACGACACCGGGACTCACTGGAGCTAATCAGCCAGCAGTTAGCTAGCTTAACCCCCCTCCCTCCCCGGCCTGCTGTGCGTGCTGTGCGGGGTGAGTTGCAATGACCGAGTGCATTACTCATAACGCACGGCCACGGGGCGCGCGTTACCGTTACCCTATTAGGTTATTAGCGGTCCACAAAGCACCTCGCGGTTGCACATGTCTACCTAGCTCGACGGTTAGCCGCCGCATGATGGGACAGAAGGCCCAGGTGTGTTAGCCACAGAGCCGGGGTTCGGGACTGGACTAGCCGAAAAAAAATGCAGCGGTACCTGGGAACAGAAATAGGAGCCTTGAATGCCAAGCTTGATACATGTGGGACACTGGAGTTTAGCGTCCTCGCTGCAGCCCTCTGTCTCACACTCCCTTCTTGCCTCGGTGCTCGCCATGCCTTCGTCTGCCGGAGGGGTGGAGTCGAGCGGAAGCAGCCAGCCAGCCCGGGCGCACTGCGCATGCGCGGCGCGCGTCACGTTACGCAGCTCGGCCCAATCAGCAGAAACTTTTTACAACATTTTTTTTTTTTTTCTAAAGATGGCGACCGCCGAACCGGTGAGTACACTCTCCCCCTCCGCCGTGCGAGAGCATATTGGAACGATCGCGGGGCTTTCTCGCTGTAATACCGGACCGGGTTCACGTTTTAAGTTCAAGTATACCTGAAAACGTTTGTCCCTGAAAGGAAACGGGGAGTTGTCACGCTCGCGCGTTCTGTTTTTAATAAGTCTGAAGCTGGTCCCGTCATTCTCTGCCACGACCGAAGCGGCCGAGCGGAGCGCTCGCGCGAGGGGGAGATCTCCCCCAACTTGAGAGGTGACGTCACAGCTAACCGACGTGCCGTTCACCTCTGCGCGAGAGATCCATTACAAAATGAACGAATGAACCATTTCTGAGGTTAACAGCAATGGCACACACACCTGTGCGATCACAGTTTGGGACAGGCACGTGTGTGACGTACTATACTTAAATTCGGCGGGCGATACGAGACTTGGAACGGAAATACCGGTCTGTTTGTGTCACTTTAATTTGAGCTGTCAGAATCGGTGGCCGCTGCTCACTGCTGACCTCTTCGATGCAGCTTTTGAGGTTGACTACTCGGTTAGCGATATATAAGAGCAATGGCGTGTTGTTGTGTTACCCCGCCCAAATAAACATGTGTTTTAGTGAATAGGTTAATTGACCTGCCGAATTCAAGCTTCAACTGCTTAGTCTCGTGTTAGAACGGATCATTTGCACTGAGTGACCTGAGTTAACTGCCAAGTTGGCTAAAAGTTAACGCTGACCGATCAGTTGTAAGAACGGAAGTCACGTGGTGCTCTTGGCGTTCGTCTACAAACATCTGGGCCTCTTAAAATGAGTCAACACTTTTCAACTAACTTGCCACCAGTAACGTTACTGTGTAAAAGTGGCCAGCAGTCCACGTTAGTTAGCTGAATATAGCTTAGCTTCACATAACGGTGGAATGGGTTCCAGATGTTCTCCTGTGAACGGGAGACTAATCTTTGACTGTAATTCGACTTTATTTGGGTGATAATCTCGTTCGAGATTAGGAATGACGCCGTTGTTTGGTCAGAAAGACTCTTTTTGAATAGTAACCTGTAATTAAAGTACCACCAATAAAGTAAAGGCTAACTTCTGTTAACAATAAAAGTTGTTACATAGGATATTTGATTTCATTCTACTTCAGTACTGTTTAATAGCATTCCCCATTGTTGTTATTACTAACTTATTATTAATTAATAAATAATATAAATGATTAACACCTGCTTCTCTCTGCCTAACTACCTTTAGGAAACCAACCCGAGTCCCCCCCAGCCTGATGAAGATGCAGCTAAAGAGACTGGACAAGAGATTGTGAACCCAGAGGCCTACATCAAACACCCCCTCCAGAACAGGTACGGGGCTCCCATCTAAGATACAAACGTCATATAACAACTATTTTAGTTTTTGGGTATTTTAAAGAAAAGAAAGAAGGGGGACCTCACCACGAGAGGGCGAGACTCTCATTTCATAGACGAGAGAATGATAAGGAAGTTTATTCCAGTCACTCAAGCATGACGTTTCTGACCTACAAGAACCATAACAAATCGCCGCGGGAGTTGTTTTTTCCCAGAGTTAGACATGCCAGAGTCCCCTTTAATGATATACTAGAACAATATATGTTATTACGTGCCTGTGGCCCTACTCCGGTCTGTGTGTTTTCGAGCTCTCATGTATTTTCTTTTCATTCTGTCATTTTTCCGGGTGTTTCTGTGATGGTCTGTTGTCCAGACGGTTTCAGTTCTTTCCTCACAATCCTAGATTGCAACAACCTTCGGTGCTGAATACAAAAAAAGCATCAATTGAATATTTTATACATATTTAGATTCCACAGGGATACTTATGTCCAAAAGGGTCAAAAACAGAACTCCACAGAGAGCCAGTTGGCTGGAAGAGAAGTTGCTCACTGGTCTTTGGCAGGCCGGCTGTGGGATTGAAAATAAATCGGCAGCGTTCTAATATTATACCAGACACGGTATGCCGATGGGGAGTTGTCATATTTTCTCCTGAGGTCTTCTGTTATGCACACACGACGCATTCCATTAGTATCAGTAGACTTGTTCCGGTTTTTGGGCCTTTCATTTCGGCTGTGTGGTCCAAACCCGCTAACGGGCCAGCTGCTCCAATTGTGCCACATTGCGATGGAACCGCAGGCGGCAGTGACTACCGGAGGTCTGTGGGGGGGCGTTTTGCCCCCTGTTAATCTGCACGCGTGGCGAGGGACTTTTAAATCTTATGACCAACCAGTTTGCAGTGTCTTTCCATGGAAATGATGCTATGCATCTCTCTTCTCTAAATGCGTTCACCTGTTTTTTTGTATTGAAAGACTTTTTTTTTTTTGGATTAGAAGCTCTGATTGTGTTGCTCTTAATTTATTCTGAATCTTATGAAGTTTTCTGTCTGTCATGTTTAACAATATCAACCACGTACGTATTTGGACAAAATATGATTTTATGTTATTGTGGTTACGACTAAGAAAAAAACAACATATATGGATTTGAGCAGAATAATTTGTCAGATGAAAACATGCTCTGAATCACCGGAGGGGACTATATCTCTCTTTTTTTTTTTATTTGAATACATTTTGAATTGGGTCGAGGACAAACAATTACAAATTATTTGGCGCAGCCCCACTAACTTGTAACAGCAAAGATGAGGTGATGATGATGATGATGATGATGATGATGATGATGATGATGATGTCATCACAGACACACAAGAAGCAGCCGCTGGGCTGCGAGAGGCTCCAGCATCAAACAAGTCTGACACCGCGCTCACGATTAATGGAGAGCGAGTGAAGTGAGACGCGCCGAACAGTTTGTGCCGGCAGCTCGCCGCTCATCCGCTCCGTTCCGGTTCCTCCGGTTACCTCGACTTTAATTAGGGGCTTGTTACATTCATGCAAATTGCTCCTCTGCTTTCTCCCAACAGATGGTCCCTGTGGTTCTTCAAGAACGACAAGAGCAAAACATGGCAGGCCAACCTGCGACTCATCTCCAAATTCGACACGGTTGAGGATTTCTGGGCGTACGGAGCAATAAATCTTTGTTTGCTTGGACCTCTGTGGAGTGACTGAAGCAGCAAAATGCCACCACAGACTTTTAAGATACTGTTGGATTTTGTTTTTTTTAACGCTGTGTCTCTTCATTTCAGACTTTACAACCATATCCAATTGTCAAGCAACCTCCTGTCGGGCTGCGATTACTCCCTTTTTAAGGTACGTTTGATTTATGTACCATTTGTGTGAGCGTGTAGCTCACGTAAAGGTGACGGTGAGCTAAAGGTCGGAACATTTACGAGCAAAGTTAGCCGGAGGAGTTTGGGATTCTCCGCAGGTTAAAAGAAGAGCCATTCGATTGGCTGGTAGCCGCGCACTGTGCTCGTAACGTGCACTGATCCTTTGCCTCCATTGTACATTAAACAGGACTCGACTCTTGTCTGAGGTCGAAGACTCAAAGTTTTGATTGCTATCCTGCAGGGAATACATTTAATCATTAATCATCAACCTTGACTGAGCATGCCTATTGGGTTTAGTCTATTAATCTATTACGCTTCATTCTTTAATGAAAAACATGTCTTTTCCATTCAGTCATTCGCCACTTTAAACTCTGGCACTTTAAACTTTGTACACGGCACACATTGATCTGCAGACTCCCTCCACCCACTGACTCTCACACTCCCGTTTATTTGGCACTGCGTTCTATAATCAGTGGGCTTTTCATTGTCAACATTAGCAGGAACCCCTGCGGCAAAGACTAATTAGGCAACTTCCGTTACTTAATCGACATGAATGCAATTGAACTTTTACACCTAATATTCTCCAACCAGTTTGCTCTGTGAGTCACAAAGTTGAGGCAGAGAAGAAGGCGGGCGGCAGTGCGAGTTGAGAACGAGGACGTGCACCGAGCGCAGCCGTCACTGGACACCGGTCCTCACTCCCCTCTTAGTATTCCGGCTGCAAACCTCTGACCCGATCTGTGCGCGGCGGCTCGGAACGTGTTCTGACCATTTGTGCCGCCGCTGCAGGACGGCATCGAACCCATGTGGGAGGACGAGAGGAACAAGCGCGGCGGCCGCTGGCTCATCACACTCAACAAGCAGCAGAGGAGACAAGACCTGGACCGCTTCTGGCTGGAGACGGTAGGTTTGACCGAGGGACGCCGTTACCCGTTTCTTGAGCTTCCGCTCGCCGCCGCGTGGTCGCTGGCTGCGGTGCAGACATCCAGCGACAAAGTGGGTGGGAAGAAGAAACACGCACCGTTAAACATTAACAGACTTCTACGTCGACTGTTTTTTGGGGTGTTTGTGGGCGTGTGTTTGCCCGCGTAGTCCCGAGTCGAGATGAGGATCATCGCTTTCCCTCCACAGCTCCTGTGCTTAGTGGGCGAGGCCTTCGGCGACTGCAGCGACCAGGTGTGCGGCGCCGTGGTCAACATCCGCACAAAAGGAGACAAAATAGCCGTGTGGACCTCGGACTACGAGAGCCGTGACGCCGTGACGCACATAGGGTGAGGCGCGTCTTCATCTCAGTTGCCCCCCCCCGACCCCTGCCCCCCCTCCCCGCGACCTCTCACAGTGTCTCTTCCCCACAGGAGCGTTTACAAGCAGCGCCTGGGGCTCCCGCTGAAGATGACCATTGGCTACCAGTCTCACGCTGACACGTCCACCAAAAGCGGTTCAACCACCAAGAACAGATTTGTGGTTTGAGGGAAAACGTCCGATGTGCCTTCCTGTTTGTTTTCTTGTCTTATTTGTTGTCGGTTCATGTGTTTGCTGACTCGTTGGAATGCGATCTGGAAGAAAGAACAAAATAATTCACTAATAGTAAAAATAACCCTGTTTCTGTTACCTGCCGGGGTCTCGAACCACAGCGGAAAAACATGAACTACCAGACGAACATGAAACTTCCCAAACACTAACAATAAGACGGTGATTTAGAGGGCTGCTCACTCTACTAAAGACATTTGTGTTGGTTTTTTTCTTTAATGTTGAGGAATCCTAAAATGTTAAAAAAAAGGTTCTATATCTATATCCATTTACTACAGGCTCGTTGGTTTGCTTAACGAATGAAAGCCCTTTTAATTTATTTTTGATTTGCCTACATAAGATTAGATTGTTAGACCTTTTTGTTTTTGCTTCTTATGCCTTCGATTGCACTCAATCGACCTTTAAAAAGTATTTCATGACTCATATTCATTTGAGCGTTAATATAATTAAAACATGGGTTTTGCAATTATTATTAGTTTAACTGTGTGATACTTTTGTGGTGCATCACTTGCTGTATCGTAGGAAACTGCCTTTTAGTTTGCGGTCTAATCGATTTCAACCGAGACACAATCCATCTGAGGGAATCAGTCTCTTCTCCGGCTTGAGATTTACAGCGACAGCGCCACATTCAAACCCCATCATCCCAAGATCCCTTAAAATGTCAGCAAAAAAAACGAAACAAAGGAACGTTGAAAGAAAAGGTTACTTTGGATAACTCTTGTTTCCCGTCTCAGTCTGTTGCCATCTTCAAAAATGTCACCACGTTCTCAAGGATCGGCCCTCTTCACGGCGGCGGGCACCAGATCCTCCCTGATCTCATGACGCGTCACGTGACGGCCGAAGCCTCACTGGGTCCTCGCTGAAGTGACGGCAGTCTGGAGGCGGTAACCTTTAAAGGCCAGCTGATCCATCGTGGAGGATCCTTTTTCCAATCAGAAACACGGTGGCCATTAAATTGTGTGTTTACAGCAGCTCTCAAGCGCACAAAGCAACTCCCATGACAAGCAGAGGACCCACAAAAAATATTAATAATGCATGAAAAATAACTCCGTAGGACCAAATAAAAACATCGGTTTGATTTAGAAGTCACACACTTTAATAAAACCGAGATGTTTAGTTAATTCAAGTTTCTCAGCACTTTTTACATGAAGAGTAAAAATATACCTCTAATAACTCATCTGCATCGCGATGCCTCATCCTCTGTGATCGAATGTCGGATAACGGATACGTACCTTCAGTAAGCGCGGAGAAAAGACCGTCTGCAAACCCAGCTGCCAGATTACGAGGTCCATCCAGCCAAACCGAGTGCAGCCTGTACAGCAGCGCCCAGATGACTCATTCACCAAGTGTTATGTTAGATTTTGTTGGAGGTGTTAAATGGGGGTCGCATAAAGAGGCGCCCTTCTAATTGCAGTGCACAAAGTATTACTCATAGAGACGGTGCAATGAGACAATAACAATTTGCGCCACTGACCTAAAACCATCCACTTACACACGGTGTTATTCACAAGGCTCCATCACGTAATGAAATCCGGTCTGCAACAGTCATACAAATGTAAATAAATGCACACGTATTGTGCACAAACAGATGAATTCAACACATTTCTTATATCCCGGTTGGTCATAAAGCCAACCCCCCCCTCCCGGTCTGTGCAACAGGTGAACACGGGCACTTTATTAAACGGGCTTACAGACTCACCTCGGCAGCGACGGATGCAATCAATGTGCTAAATTGAATCGAGCTCAGTGGCTCGGCCTCCAGTCGGCCCCGCGAGCTGCCGCCAGCAGGACCTCCTTGTATTCCAATCGGGGGGCACTTATCTAATCCCCAAACCTTTTGGATGTGAGATAACCGGTCAAATCAATCCGGCAAAAGGACGTAATTCAGCAGGGGAAATAAAAGCTCAAATCAGACAGGGAGGTATTGCTGAAGCGACTTGATTTAGACCCGAAAAGCTGCTTTGAGAATCATTACACTGCTGCCCATCACTTTACACTGGAGGGAGCTGCAGCCCCGTTTAGCCTCCAACAGGTGGAGGCCAGCAGGTGGAGGGAGGCGTCCACAGGCCTCAGTCCACGTCCCGCCAATTTCAAATTTACACCGTAAAGCCCCCGCCGCCGCCTGCGTTTCCTGGCGTTTGCGGTGCTTCGGTGGCGACGGCTCACACTTCAGGGGAATCAACTCGCAGCATGTGAAGAGGGAATCAAAACCACCGAAAAAGCACTTTCTTTTGTGGCTGACAAAGCGTGGTGGGCGAACAGCAACGTCTGGGCGCCAGAGGAACCGCGTGCGCTTTCGCGTCGCCAGCGGCTGTGATTACGACGTCACACCCCCGGAACGCAATCAAAGGATCAAAACCGCGGCCGTTTGTGGGGCTCGATGCTTAGTCAGCTTACCCGTTCTGTACGTGGCCGATCAATTTCCCCGCGCGGGGTCCGTCCGGAGGCCCATTCCTCTCCCGGCGGTACGCGGATCAATGGCGGGATTCGTTAACCCTGATGGAATGAACGCGGAGGCAGTTAGCCAACGCTGAGATCCAAAACGCTTAGATTACTTTTAGAGATGTACGCAGGAAGGGCCGACGGTGGTGTGGTGTGAAATAAGTCATTGTAGACACGGAGGGGTTTTAAAAGTATTGATCCGGAGTCCCCCGTCCAGCTGCCTGAGCCCTTGTACTGTATATAAAGCCCAAACTGACAGCAGCACCGTGTAAAAGCTTCTCACTGCAGCGTGGGATTGATTTTTATCATTTTAATGATCACTTTTATGGCACATGTTGAAGCGGTTATTCATCTCAATTGAAGTTTCAGTAACTGGCCATGGAACGGTTTGATATTTTGGGGAATAAAGTTCCTGTTTTTTTTCGTCAACGTGGCTAAAGCTCGAAGGCAGCTGGTCCTTTCACAGCTAAAACAAATATGCCTACGAGCGGATATACAGGTTGTGTCTTTACTCCATATTAAAGCCCAACTGCTGTAATATCACCAGCGCTTTGTTATGTGGTCAATGTGGAGCATTCAGCATCTCCCTTTTACTTATTTAATCATTGCCACCCCCCCCCCCTTTGCCCCCTTCGCTAATTGAAAAATGAACATTCAGAATGCATTGTGTTAATCAACGCAGCGATTTGTTTCTTTAACACGGTGTTTTTCATCAGCCCACACGGTGCTTCACGCGACCTCCTGTTAGATCCCATCATGTGATGTTCATGTGGAAACGTATGTGGAAACGCATCTGGTTTAAAGTGCGACCCTTTCATGCCTGTACGACACTTCGATGCTTTTGTTGTATCAATAGTTGTCTTGTTCTCGGGATAATTCGGGTGTTAATTAGAGGCGGTAAAACATCGGCTTTGAACAAAATGTTTGGAAGAAACAAAACAAAAACCTTTTCCTTAGAAAGCCGGTTGGTCAGTCGATGAGTTTGAAAACCTCCGAAAAAAAAGAAGAATTTCCCACCCATGAAACTTTCAAAGGATGCTGAAGTCCCGACTGGCAGGGTTCTCACCGAGCGGAGATTCATTAGCGTGGCCTTTTGTGACGTTTTACAGTGTTTGCGCTTGCAGTTATGTGTTAAATTGGCTGGTAATAATAACCCCGTGTGCTCCCTCTGCCTCATTCAGCTGTGAAAAATGAGCCCCAGAGATTTCGTTGGCATATTTAATTTGCCGTCTCGACTCATTGAGGTGACTATTTTCCATACAATTAATTTCGCGGCATTTGGTTACGTCCCACCCGCAATCCGCTTGCTTTGTAAGAAAAAGAACATAGTGAACAAAATAGGGCTTTCTTAAACATTTTGGGGCTTTTAACATTATAACTTGGAAGGAATGGTGACACAGCCGCATAAAGCTGAGTATCATCAGCGTAGCAACGGACATTAATTCCACGGCTGCGTTTTTGTTTGACCAACAGGGGAAATAAAAGGAGAGGGCGAAGGACGGATTCCTAGGGTCAAAAAGTGCATTTATTATTGCAAGAACCACAAAATAGTGAGCCCAAAAATGCTAAAAACCTTCATAGTGAGTCATAGTTATCAAGAGGTGAAAATGATGGAGTGTCCCACTGAGAGCGATTAATGAGCCGTTCTATCTGGAACAAACTCATCCAGATGGGATGAACTAAACCGGTGCTTCTCACCAACTACTCATCATTTTTTGGGGATGCTTGTTTTCAGTGCCTGGAGGACTCAGCAGTATTTGTTGCCTTTGTGCACTTGGCTCGCGTTTCACCGGCTGATGCAGCCTCCAACTATTCAACGCCCACCTCGGAGCCACCTGTCACTTTATCCGCGGTTGTTATCCCTCAGTAATTCTCCAAACGTGTGCATCCGTGCAAGACAGTAGAAAAGATTGGATTGTGGGAATTGTGCGCCAATTTGGCTTTGCTTGTCATTCAATTGCTCCTTTGAGGCACATGGAAATGTGCTTGAGTTACGCGAGTGCACCGGAAATGATGTGATATTGTGAGCCTAACTCGGGATAATGAACACTTAAAGTAATTATGAACATGGTTGTTTGGTGTTGCAATAAGGAAGCGAGGCTAATTTAGGCTAATTGCTTCTGTATGTTATTTGTGTTGTCCTCCAAACACATTTTCACTGAGAAGAATCGTGAAATTCTCACAATATGAGGATCCTATAACGTTACGCTCAGTTTGTCCCCCGTGCCTTTCCGATAATGACCTGTTCAGACTGTGTGGACTGAATCCTCATCATCTGATCACTGCCTCCCTGTTCTCATTTACCAGGTGGCCAAATGATTTTATTACACGTTCAGCCATCAGTAAAACATACAGCACACTGTTTATTTTTCCGCTGTGTGTTGCAGGTAGATAATTGTGTTCCTGCGTTAATCAATGTTTATTAAAGTATACGAGCAACGAAAGCTTCTGCTTTATCCTCACCACAGTATTTTGTCTACTCATCCCAAGAACAGGGATGACTAAATGCATAACTACATTCCTCACACCATCCGTGACCCGTAACCCTTAAAATCTTAATCCTTAAAGTATGAATTTGGAGAATTGATTGATTTCCAAACGTCCCCGCTATGTGGTTAAAAACTTGGTGTTGGTCCTCACTATGTAAGAAGTACAAGAACATTCACACACACACACACGCGTGTGGTTTACTTAGCTTAGCACATTACACAAGCTCTGTCCAAAAGTAAAACATCCTATCTCATGAGGACTACGTTTCCTCTCTGGTTGCCTGGCAACTACTCGGTGACAACAAGCCTCAAGATTTAGTGCCTCCAATGTGACTCCACGTGAAAGCAGGACATGACGTTGAACTGATTGAACAAAAAAGGTCAAAAAAGGCATCATTTGTAAGCTGGTGAACTGATTCTTTTTTTTTGTTTACCTGTAGACTGACCTTCCTATTCCCTGGTTGCCAGTCTTCATGCTGAGCTAATCCCCTCCTGGCTATAACTCTATATTATGCTCTATATATGCAGCGAGTGTCATAAA